TATTTAAAGTGGCCTATTCAGGATAATTCATTTTTTACTAGACATTGTTTGACATCCCTCTGTTAGTTTTTCAAACCTCTTACCATTTCACCTGTCTTCCTCTCTGATTACCTGTAGTGCATAACAGAACTGGCAGCATGGTGTAAATAACAGTTACTAATGTTTTATGTCCTGTGGAAAGGTTTAACTTAAATGAAATAGAATTTTGTAGTGTGGAATGGACAATTTAACAACCTTGACACTGTACAGACATGTTGCTGGATTTCAGTGATGTTTTACAGGTACTAGGTTAATCATGCTTTGATAGTGGCACTGAAAGTCAGTTTAACTAATAGTTTTCGTTATCTTATGTAGAGTCTGAGGTATTATTATTCTGGATATCGCATGTTTACAATTCTTTGTAATATTTAAAATAAATCATATGTTGTCCTACAAAATTTCATCCCCCGTGCTATGGAAACTTTTTTTTTTGGTTCACTGACCTCTTTCCTATCCCCCTTGGGTACTGTAATTCAAGTTCAGTGATTAGCTTTGACTCCCTTCCTTCTTCTTCCCTCTGAATGTAAGCCTTCCTTGGTCAATTGGTATGGATATATTTCTTCATGGAACCTGACACATTATTTTCGTAATATCCAGTTAAAGTTACTGTGTACCCTCAGGGGTGTCTCCAGTACAATGGACGTATTGCCTTGCAGTTACATCACAGATACAGTACTGTAAACCCTATGTATCAAATTGAAGCTTATAAATCTGGCTATTCAAAAGTGTTACTTGATTTTCTGATAAATGAATTATAGAATGAAATCATGGTGATCATGGCTGCCTTTTCTTTTTGATTTGTGTGATCCTTATTAAACTGAGCTTCCATTATTTGACAGATTGATGTTTTCACCCTTGGTAGAGCATACCTAAAGCTGGCTCAAGAACTTTACATTAACCTGCCTGCTGTTGGTAAGGTCATGAGAAAATCACAATAATTCAGATTGCTTTCTACTGAACTTTTTACTTAACTTAAGATCTTTTTTTATGGAGACAGTGGTGTCCATTAATCTCAATGGTTTACGTAACTGTGTTCTTGAACATGACTGTGCTATGATATATAACCTATAGAGAAAAGACTGAAATTGGTCACTGTTAGGGATAAAGTACATTAGTATTTATAGAGTGCTTATACTGCACTTCAGATCCCTGCCTGTACATCCATCGTTTTGCCCATAAGTTGGAATTTGGTGAGAAGGAGCACGATGTTGCTGTGACAGCTTTGCGGCTTGTGTCCAGAATGAAGAGAGACTGGATTCATCATGGCAGACGACCTTCAGGCCTTTGTGGAGCAGGTTAGTGCTTAATGTTCATTTGTTATGTACTCTTAAACTGCAGATTGGCGGCAGTTAAATGTGTGCAACTTTGCTTATGAAAATGATGAGCGTATGTTTAAAAACAAGGTGCCATGGGCATGCTGCCTCCATTTACTCATGTCAGAAATCACTAATGATAAAGCACTCAGAGGCCCTTTCAGAAATTTCCTACTGAACAAATGTTTGCTAGTCCATCTTGTAGTAATACTTGTATGACAATGCATTTATTATCATAACTTCCTTTTTCATTTCATTGTTTAATCTGTTTTTCATTCAGTTTATAAGCTGCTTTTGCTACTTTTTAGTGTTAGCACCCACCTTCTATGAAATGGTTATTAGTTCATTCCCTATAAGTGTCTCCTAATTGTAAGAGGTTTGATTGCATTGCATCAGTCTTCCTTTATTTCATATCAGCTCTCTTAGTTGCTGCAAGATTACATGGATTTAACAGAACCGTGCGTGAAGTTGTCAAAACCGTTCGCATCAGTGATACCACTATACGAAAGAGGTTGGGTGACTTCCGTGACACGCCCTCCAGTCAGCTGACCATTGATGAATTTCAGACCATTGATCTTGAGGAGGAGCAGGATCCTCCGTCATTCACACAGGCCAGGAAAAGAGCAAAACAACAGCTTGAGGAGCTGAACAAACCAGAAATTGCTTCAGAACTGGAACAATTCCAGAACTCAATTGAGAAAATTTTAGGCATTGATTCCAAAAAGGACAAACCTGTCCCAGTAGATGAAAGTGGAAATACTAATGATTCAAGTAGGACTTTGGAACAAGATGTTACAAGAGATGCTAGTAGTGACACTTCACTTGTGGTTCCTCCCTTTGGCATAGCAGATCTGATGTCAAAGATTGACAATGTAGAAGGTACTTGAAACTACACTGAAATGGTCTTTGGGTTCCACTTCCAGCCACATTTGGAAGTCCAGCGAAAAGGTGGAAATCGAGCTTTAAGAGCTGGTTTTTCATCTTTCACGTTGTTGTGTTCAAGATCTTTTCCTTGGCACAGTTTTGTCTAGTATATTAGTATAAATCTACTAGCATTCTATCATGAATGCCATTCTCTGATTGGCTATGCTACTCACTATCTATTCTGTGATAGATAGTGAGTAGCGTAGCAGTGTGACCTTGTTAACAAAATGACAGCTATTTCTTGGCATTTTCGAAGTGTCTATGAAGAGGATTTAGATAGAGTTTTGAACGAATAGTAGATTTATACTTAAACAATTATTCGCTCTTGATCTCTATGCATGATAGTTGACTCAGGCTGCTCCCTTGTCAACCATCACACGTTATAGTTCACCACTAAATTTTCTCTGATTCTTTTTGGTTTAAATTGATCACATGATGCGATAGTGTTCATCTGTGAAGAGACACTATCAGCCCATAGTGCCTGTCCGAGGAAAACACCCAGATGGATAGTACTCGTCTGTGAAAATATTTCTGTAAACAAGCGGGCTTATAGAAAATAAACGATTGAAGTGTATTAAGAGAGTTTCTGTTTGTTTTCCTTTTCAAATTTTACATTTGGCTTTCACGGCTTTCGTCTTAAAAAAAAGTTGAAAATAATTCAATGTGATTTTTGAACTGGCGCATGGAAGAACATTTAGTGGTGAACAATAAAGACAATAGAGTGTTTATGTCTCAGAACTATTGGTCTGACAGTTGCCCAGTGGAAATTTGATGTTCTTAAAACTAGCATATTTGCCCTTGAAGCTTCGCTTCTTGGGCAAATATTTGTTTAAAGAACATCAAATTTCTGCAGGGCAACCAGCACCCGATAGTTCCTCGACAGAAACACTCTATTGTTTAAATAGCAATCTCGAGCTCATAATCAAATTGTTTAATATAAACACACCTAATTGGATGTTTTCTGGCTGGAACACGATAAAAGTGCACGTGAAAAAATGGTCCACTTTCAGGAGGTTCAAATTGTCATACACTGAAATAGGAAATATGACACTTCACTCATCAAGATGTCATGGGTGTGAAATGATATCTATCGTGGAGTTGTCAATTTATCAATTCTATAGAAGATGGTATTCCATGTTCTCTATTCAGTTGGTTTACTAAGAAAATAGCATGCATGTTTGAGGTTGAGAAAAACTGCAGCTGCTAGTGAATGCTCAAGCGGAATGGGAGCGTATTCAGCCTCGAAATTGCACCTTAAATGGGCAGCACTAAACCAGGCAAGTTAATGGAAATGATAATCATTATCATATTGCAGATAAAGCAGAAGAAGACCAAGAGAGTGAAGAACTCGATCTAACAGGCCTGGATGAAACAGAACTGGATAAAGTAATTTAAATCCCCCACCCCCCTTTCTTTATTATGTCAACAGACACATCCTCCTCACCAGCCTCCAGTCATATTTTAGCATACATGTCTATTTTCCTTAGCCTAAAAGAAACACTATTGTAGTAATTTAAGACCCAAACGTAAATTAATACACAGGTTGGGTCACTTGTAACTAAGTTACCTGCCAAGTTTACCAGCAAAGTTGATTCATCATAGGTGAACTTCAGCTTTATTGACATCTGTATGCAGGGGTTTGGGCATGGGGAAAATTGACCAGCTGTGAGGATGATTTTGCCCGTCTGGTTTGACCATCTGGGGAAAGATTTCTTTTGAAGAAGTTCCATTCTATTCTTGTCCGCCTGTGTAAACCAGTTGCCCTCCTGTTCAAAGCATTAATGAAATCAAGCTATATCTCTACTCTACTCTAGCTGTAAAGGTCGCACAAGCCTATCTTAATTCAATCAGCTAAACTTAACTTGCTTAAAATTTTTGCACACTTATCATGCACTTTGCTGGCTGAATTTAGCTATATAAGCTCACGAATGGCATGATATTTTATCTCAAGCTCAGTTATTGTCCTTGTGCTTCATTGTTATACAGAAACACTTTTCTCTATCTGTGGGTCTCTCATTTAGTCATGATCAGCCTTGGAGTCTTAAAGCTTGAACTCTCTTTGTCTCGTAACTCCGTTAATTTCAACAAGCAGTGACGAAAAAAGCAATGGAGAATTTTGATAAACTTCCCTTAACTGTTTTTTCAACTTGTTGTTTGGCTTGTTTTTAGTGCCTCTTAAATGAACAAGAGATAGAAATAAAAACAAAGCTGTGGATGGAAGAAAACAAGGATTATTTAGAAAAACAAAAAGGTGACTATGAAGCTGAATTTGAGTAGTGTCTCTCTAAGGGACCAACCACCCCATCTTGTGTTCTGTTAACACACTTGCTCCAGAAGTAGAGGTTTCCTTTAAGGTAAGTCTTTTGCTCAATTGCTAACCTGTAAAGTTTGCGGGATTATTTCTTTTGTAGAAAAGGAGGAAAAGGAAGCACGAGAGAGAGAAGAAGGAAATAAACAAGAACCAAAAAAGGTCCTCCTCCTTTACACTTTTTGCAGACAGCCTACAGTAATAGAGCGGCTTTTAACGGAGTGTCGTAAAACCAAAACCAAAGTAATGGCTCTGGCTTATCAGAAATTACAAGCAAACCACTGAACTAGTCGGAACTCGAAGCAAATACATGTAGCTGGTGCAAAGCGCGGTAAAACGTGTTTGAACGAGTCACGATTGGATTACCTCCGATTGGATGACAAAGTCCTGCGATTTTTTTTTAAGCCAGTCGTTTTAGTGTTGCAATACTCGGTATAATGCAAAATCAAAGGAATGCAAATTGTTTTTGACACTCAAGTGAAAGCTGCTCTCAACAAAAAATAGACAATTTTAGTATGATTACAACACACAGACGCTTGAAAAAATGGTCAATGCCTGGGTAAACGTATACAAAGTTTCCATCCAAGACTTAGCTCCCTCAATCGTGTCTACATTAAATACTAAATTATAGTATTGGAAACTAAATTTTGACAGCAAACCTTTTCGATATCTCTAACTCACAGACGCCCAGCTTGCCATTTCGTGTTGAGCTTTCTTGTTCTGGTCCAGTACGAGACGCCTCCATAAGATCGCGGACCGATTTCCCTTTTTTATTCTCTTTTTTATCATCAACTTTTGACACTGGGAAAATTTTCCACATTTCGAGAACGTGAAATTCTAAATAACCGAAGTCGCATAAGAGGGATCCAGCTGTATTTGGATTTGAAAGTGTTAGCTATAAAATTATATCTCTGCCACGCCATTCAAACTGATAAGAAACAAACAGCTGAGATTTCAATGATTCGTCAAAACAGACGTCTTTTCTCTTGCTCTCATACCGAACTCGTGTAAGAGAGGTTTATGAAATTCGCGCCAAAAAAATTACATACTGACAGCGTGCTGCAGAATTGGCCAGTGATTAGCTAAGCAAGAGTAGACTTACCTTGACCTATAAAGGGCAAAGCCATCAGAATGGAATCTCGAATCACGGCTATCTCATGCTCAGGGGATTACATAGAAGTAAAACCACGGAAGTCTCTCCACTAAGACTGAAACTCTTTTACCGACCTACGTCTGAACATTTCAATTCGCAGATTGTGTTCCCCCTCCCCCGCTCCGCCAAAAAAGGCATGGTGTTTGTCTGTCTGCTGTTTTTTTTTTTTTTTTTTTTTTTTTTTGTTTTTTTTTTTTCGTTTGTTTTGTTTTATTTTATTTCATTTTATTTTATTTTGTTTTTTTTTATTATTATTTTCTTCTCATAGTTGAATTTTAACTAACGTCAGTCTTGTGCTCCCACAGAAAAGAAAACCTTACAAGAAAAAAGTTCCAACCGGACCAGCAAATACTGCTGGCGAGGCTATTGAAAAGATGCTGGTAGAAAAGAAAATCTCTAGTAAAATAAACTACGAGGTACTAAGGGATCTGGAGACGAGCCAATCCAGTAGGCCCTCTACACCAGTCACACCTGTTCCTAAACCGGTTTTACCACTCAAACAGGAATTTATAACGCCGCGCGTACCAACTAGGACCGGAGGAAGAAAGCGGTCAGTCTCTAATGGTTATATATTGCAAGGTTTTCTGTGGAATACTTGCAGGTATTTCACGGAGAAGTAATGATCTGGGATAGCCCTAATACGCAGAGGAGGTGATCGTCTTAGTAGGATTGCGTTACATTCCATCTAGAAGACAGCTTCCTTGTTAACAAGCCTTACTCAGTGTTCCAGATAAGTGAAGGGTCTCAGTTCAAAAACCCGTCAAGGTCAGCTACATGACCCGATAAATAAAAATAAAATTTATAATGATTTGGTGGCAGCAGTGGGAATTGAGCCGTTGGAATTTTTTATTGACATCCTGCCTTGAAAACCTATCTGAACCCTGCTTACTTAGTTTTTGTTCTTCTTTGTAATTCTTAGAGACTCTTCTACTCCTGCTGCTTCGCCTTCGGATACCTTCAAGAAACCAAAGGTAGGTGTACGCCTAGATGTTGTCATTCTGTAATTTTCACGCCCAACAGCAACCTGGATCCCAGGCTCTCTCTCTCTCTCCCTTGCCTCCCTTGTCGTTGAGGAGAGAGGCCCTGGTTGTTCTTCTCGTAGCCTGCGAACAGGCTCCTGGTGAGCCTTGTCCTCCCCAGTCCCCGCCCCGATCGCTTCGCTCTCCGAATTCTTCGGTTTCGCGCTTGCCGAAATTTTTTTCCGTCCTCGCCGGGAGCCTGTTCGCAGGCTACTCTTCTCGATAACAAGGGAGGCAAAGGAGAGAGAGCCTGGGATCCAGGTTGGCTCAACAGTGAAAGTCAGTTTAGCCCAAAAATTTAAAACTTTATTTTACGTTAGCCTGTTCCAACTCTCGGTCCTGGAACAGGTTACGTTTTCGTTGGCGGTAGGACTTACGTTGGTAAAACTGCAGCACGACTTGGATTCAAACTATGTTGGTACCGTTAGGTGACTTTTGTACATTCAATTTACCATGTGGTTTTATTGTTTATTGGCATCCAGCTCGTTCAGTCCCAAAAGCCAGTTAAGGTGGAAGCAGTTGACAAAGAAGTCGTCATTGAAAGCGGCCCCGTGGAGTATGAAAAGACTGACGAATCTAACCCCATGGGAGAGGAGGACGAATTTGACGAACTGGAAGAGGAGGACGAAGAACCAGTCAGCGCCGTACATCTCATGGGTCATTTGTATGAAGCAAGTAAGTCCCCGTCTTGTGTTACTTAGAGTCCGACTAATTGCATTTCAAGAGAATGCAGCTGCCGGGTTGCTACTGGTCAGGGGAAAAATTCTCCGGGGTCATGGAAAAGTCAGGAAATTTTATTTTGTGCCTGGAAAAATTGACATTTTGAAGTAAAGTCAGGGAAAAATAAGGGGATAGTCAGGGAATTATGAAAAGTGATGTCTGTGGTAATGATCGGTGTGTTTTACTCAAGGTTTCGCAAGAGCAACAATGGAGTTTTCGCCAGCAAAATTTTGAAACACGAATGTAAAACGAAAAAAAGCAACTTGAATTTAACTTGGGGAAAGTTTAGCTCTTGCTCAAGGAGAAAGATTTGTCTTTGCATAGTTTTTACTTCGTTGGCCTTTCGTCAAGATATAATAAGCTTAGGGGATCTATCAGAAAAAAAACAACTTGTAAGCCAGTCTTCATGATCATTCTGTTTCGATAAGAAAATAGATATTTTGAAGGAGCTCAGTCACGGTATTTTGAGCTATTTTGACCACGTACAGAATTACCTTTATAAAGAAGGAAACCTGAAAATAATAATATACTAAGATTGAAAAACACCAAAGAGATAACAAAAAACCATAAAGAAAAAAAATTGGAAAATTTAGCCTCAAATTTTCAAGATGCGCAAACTGTAGCTTAGCTACTTTAAAACGTTTTGGATGAAGCAATATTCTTGTCATTTTCCTTGCAGATCTCGATGAAGAATATGGCGACTTTGACGATTACGAGTAATCTACGCTGCTTCCCATTCTGGTTCAGGCGGGAATCCTGTTTCAGGCAAATTCATTGAAACAGAGTGCTTCGTCGGCGTATGCTCTTAAAAGCAAAACCTGAAGTAGTTTCCCGCTCCTTCTAACCAATCCAGAAAGTTTCGGGAGCCGAAAGTTGTTGCGGCGTCGAAAGCACACGTCATGTTACCAAGCAACCAAAGTGGCGTAAACCGCTGGTTCAGGTAGTCGACACCAGAGATAAGACAGAACTCGGACTCTTCTCTGAGTGTCTGCACTGTGGGCAAGTTTCTGAGAAGATATCCCGTTTATTTTATCGCATGCACTGACGACTTGTCCACAATGATGAACACGGTTTGTTCCTACGAATGAACAGGTGGTGTGGAAAAGTCGCGGAGAATACAGAGCTAACGGCTCTAGATCGGTGGTGAACTTGGCCGATAAAACCAAGGAGGAATATGAAAAAAACAGGCATTTCAGCAGTACTCCTATGAATTGGATACATCTTTAATGTGAACACGGGGAGCACTTCACCTCCCGTCCATACATGGCGAACACGTAATATCTCCAGTGTGGACGCAAAACTGCCCTGTACAAATGAAAATTCGAATAGCTAACAGTATGAGGCCCCGTCCACACTACGCCGGAGAAATTTGAAAACGGAGGTTACACTCTGAAAACCCATCGAATGTTTTCCGTCCACACTACGAAGGAGGAATTTAAAAACGCAACAATCACCGGTCATTTTGGATTTGTGTTTGAATAAAACTCGGGCAGGGAAATCACGTGATTATCGTGACGTCATCGTTTTCAAAAAGCTGGCGTTTTCAANCATTTTGGATTTGTGTTTGAATAAAACTCGGGCAGGGAAATCACGTGATTATCGTGACGTCATCGTTTTCGAAATGTTTTGTGTCTATACTAAAACGAAAATCCGGCGTTTTCAAATTTCTCCGATTTGAAGCGTGTTTTCGAAAAGCCCCGTTTTCGAGACGGATTACGGTAGAAATATAAAGCCGCATTTTCAAATTGCTCCGGCTATGTGTGGCCGTGCCTAAGAGAACGAATTCCTTTTATTGTCGATTACTCCTACCTTTCAGTAAGGGTTGATGCATTTTTAATTAAACTATACCCAAGCAAGGTTGATATCTGATATTTTTATCAACTATCAGGGACAAACTTCTGAAAGGAGTTTTACACGGAGGAATGGCTCGAAATATTTCCCATACCGCTGTAACTTTTTCTCAGAGAAAGGAAGCTGCCATAGCGCTTGGCGCACGGAAATATTATTCTAAATGTGCTCAAGAAACTAAATTACAACACCCAATCAATTTCCATCACAAACATTCAGTGTTAATTGCTTTAATTCTTTTCAGCTAGATCTTCATGGCAACCTATTGTGTAAGCGAGCCATTTTCACTGTATACTCAAGAGGAAAGTTTACGAGGTTCACCTGAAACACCGCTTAGTTCCTTATTAAATTTGTCACAATGAATGGAGAAGATTGAGTCGATGTCACTATTTGTGACAGTAATTGATTACAGCTCGTGTAATTTTACAAGTTTCAGCTAAAAGTAAAAGATAATTTAATTTAGAGCGGCCTAATCAAACTGAAGGACGTCTTTGTTGGGAAAACAACCGGTTCTTTCACTAGTTGTTTCAAAGCTTTTAAAGTAACCTGTCTGTAAATAATTTATTAGGGCGATCGCCATGAAATTATTTATTTTACTAGAACAAAACAAGAAAATATATTTCTAACAGACATTGGGTAGTGGTCTTGTAAAAATTTTGTTTAGTGGAACCTAAATCCATGCAGAATTTAGTGCCTGGTGTATTATTTAAAAGAAAAGAAATAGAGTAAATAAAATTATTTATACTTCTACGGTCGTTGAGTGTCAGGATCTCTTGGAACAGCTGCAAAATACTGCTGACATTTTGCCAGAGTGAATGAAACCTTTTCATCAGATGACTTTCTCGTGATCGATGTTGGGAGTGCCCGTTAGACAAAAAAACGAAAAACAAAAACCTTCATCATCTACAGTAGATAAAGCTTGTCATTTTTGAGCAGAATGTTCAGCGATGATTCAAGAGTTGAGAAACACACATTCAGCAGAATCTTTAAATTTTAATCTATTGCTCAAGAAAATCCTTTTTTTTCCCAGATGTTTGTGTACGCTGGGTGGTAAATTCTTGCCTAAATTATCTATCAAATGTGAACAGCCTCAGCCCCGGGCCTCAACTTGTCTTTCGATATTCAAGTCGATTTTGCAAACTGTGCAGCGAGGAAATGTGATAACTTATTTATTATATAGGTTTACTTTCAATAGAAATTATTTTTTTAGAAAATGGATTGGAATATGTGATCATACCACCTACAGCAGTAAAATTTGGTTCGTTCTTCCAGCGACTGCTCGCTCCTCTTTCGTGGAGGGGTACACGCGCGAAGAGTGATCTGCGTTCACTAATGCTATTGCAGCGCATCTGAAGCAAATTGATGTCATTACAGCCCTCGTGAAAGGTTTTTTTCAAATTTTGGTAATTCAGCCAAAGTAAATATGTTCAGCCCTACACTACGATGATAGAATTTATCGCGATGGGATTTGCAAATATGATGAGTAGTTTTCCTCTCACAAATTAAACTTGGCACCATAGCAGCCGCCTGAAGTTTATTTTGTGACCCGGGGTCACGAAACACTTCAAAATTTTTTTTTTATTGTCAAACACCTGTCAGGGCGGATTTAATAGGCACAGAACGCTTAAAAAAAAAAATTGCTAAACCTCCTTTTTTCTCATAGCTTGATGCATTCCACTCTGTAAAGGCTAGAGATATTAAGCATGAAATACGAATTTTACATTTGCCGCATTAAAAGTTAAAAGATTGCAAACACTTCCAAAACAAGATCGAAAACCACCACACCCAGCGATATGACAATTACAGTCAATTTGTTGGCAAGGGTTTTATTCTTCCTTTAGATTTCACATGTTACACGTTTTTTCAAGAAACTGAAAAATCGAGATGGAAATTCAATAGGAGTATGTTAATAAGATTTCTGATGCAATAAATGTCTTATTGTCGAGACAAAAGACGAGTTGGTCGCACGCGAAAACCGGTCGACTGGCGTGGACGGGAGCCTCATGAATATTCTTAAGGACAAAGTTCATCTAAAACACAAGCGAAGGGACGTAGGGTGGGAAGGTTTTGTTAATGGCAAAACTTTTAATGAAGACTTTCTGTCTTATTCAAATTTGTCTTCGTGTGAAGAGAAAAACTTTTTTTGGCCGCAGAAATTTTTTCTAAGGTTTACTAAATCGTTTTCCTGAAATTTTCTTGGCTGAGTATATTTTGATTATCAGCCCTACCCTTCCCACAATAATGAATGATGTAACTCATTTCCATGTGGTGACCTCGTGATACAATGGAATAAATTTGCCGCGTGGATCTGTTGTTTTTGTCTTCGTTCGCGCCATTCCAGTATTGTTCTTGGACCTCGTTGTAGGTTGACTGAAGAGTCCTGAACAGTTCATTTTGCCTGTTCAAGTGAGCAGTCCGTTGCAAGATGTCTAACGAAGTGGAATTCAACAGTTTAACCAAAGATGATGTTAAAATCAGATTCGAGGATCCTTCTGGTGTTCCGTCGAAACCAACGGACGAAGAAGTCGCGAAGCACAGAAAAACACGCTTGATCCTCGTGGTGTTGTTCGCCGTGGCCGTTGTGGCGATGGTGGTAGTAGCGGTTATTATTATTATCGTAGCTCCTCGGTGTGAAAAGGCAGAAGAAGTGACGGATACGATGGACGAGAACTGGTGGAAAAACGCCGTCATCTACCAAGTGTACCCGTTGTCTTTCAAGGATTCAGATGGCAATAAATATGGTGATTTGAAAGGCATTGCTGAAAAGATGGATTACTTCACTGAACTGGGAGTTCATGCTCTTGGATTAAGCCCGATCTACCAGTCTCCAATGGCCGATGCTGGCTACGATATTTCGAATTACACCGCCATCGACAAGGAGTTCGGAACCATGGAGGAGTTTGAAGATTTTCTCAAAGAGGCTCACGAGAAAGGATTCAAGATCATAATGGAGTTCGTTCCAAACCACTCTTCAAATGAGCATCCTTGGTTCGAAGCAAGCAAGAAGTCAAAAGAAAAAGAAAACAAATTCAGAGACTATTACATTTGGCGTGTCGGGGCCGGAAAGGACAAACCACCGAACAACTGGATCAGTGTGTTTGGTGGAAGCGCGTGGACCTACGACAACACAACAGAGCAGTACTACCTTCACCAGTTTCACAAAGAACAGCCCGATCTAAATTTGAGAAATAAAGAAGTCAAAGAAGAACTGAAGAAAGTTCTAAAGTTCTGGCTCGACAAAGGAGTCGATGGATTTAGGGTGAACGCTGCGCAGTTCTTGCTTGAAGACGACAGTTTTAAAAATGAGTCAACAAATGGCAACTACAACAAGTCTGCTCCCACATACGACATGCTGGATCACACACTCACATACGGTAAGAAAGTGAAACTCTATAATGGCCTGCCTTCTAAACTCCTCTGATACGGTAGTAGCGATTTTTTTTTTTTGAATGAAATTATGAATGCAGCTTGTTACCATAACATTAATTAAGATTGAGAGACCGATGGAGCAACAATTTCGCGCCACATAAGCTTATAAATATTTTGCTTATCGAAAGAGAACAAAGATGATAACAAAGCTGATCTTTGTAATTTAATTATCAGTGAGGGATCTTTTTTTTTTTTACCTATTTTGGTCCCAGACAACTGAATGGCTGAAAGGATGCTGCCGATGCCCAGCCCCCTACACGCCTGATTTCAACCCGATTATATGTATAGGGAAAGTCCTCCGATATTTTGCTGCTTGAAAATACCCTTTGCTGTCATCTCAGCAGTCTGAAATTCTGAATTCTGGAATTTGATTGGTTCGTGTAAATGCACCAGGCATTTTTTTTTTACAAGAGTTAAACATCATTCACATCCCCTTGCTAGAAAATTTAGGTGTTGATTCATTTTAAACTATATGGGCTGTGCTACAACCATATTTGAGAAACACACCATAGAGATTAACAGACTGAGTTTCAGATAGTGAAAGTTATTAGCAAAAAACTTGTGTCCTCACTCAGGCATACACCCCAGTATTCGCATGGATTTGTTACTCTGTATTTTTTAAATAACAACAGTTTCAGCAAGTTTTGCCTGTGATTGAGTTGCAAGTCTTGTCTACATTCAGCTACTCAAGTGTACTGAGAATGAAGGCAACAGACATTCTCAGACCAATTTTTTATAGAAGATTGTGTTTGTACCAGTTTGAAAATATGGTTCATAGGAGAAATGTATTTCAAGACTGATAAAAATATTTACATTTTGATCTGTGACTGTCTGATAATTCTCTTTCCTTTTTTAAAGATCTTGATGGCAATCGAGACATCTTAAGTGAATTCCAGAAAGTGCTAGATGAGTATGATAGTCATCCCATTCTGATTGTTGATGTAATGGGATCCTATGCTGAAACTTCCAAATATTATGGTATGTCAGACATCCCCATCAACTTTGGTTTGATCAACAAAGTAGACAGACAAGGCATGACACTAGCACAAGGCATAAGTAAAACTGTGGAGGAATACCTGGCCAGTGTCCCTGAAGGAAAGACACCCAACTGGGTTATTGGTGATCACAATAATGCACGTGTAGGCAGCCGATTGGGTGAAGACAACAGATATGCAATGAATACCCTTGCACTTACCTTACCTGGAGTGGCAATGACCTACTATGGTGAAGAGATTGGCATGTTAGATGGTAACACAACTAATCCAAAGGACAAAGAGAGAACTCCCATGCAGTGGAACAAAGAAGCACATGCTGGTGAGTAACTCTGTTTACACGAGAAAGCATTCTTACCTTTAGTAGTAGGATGGATTGACCAAAATATGGGACCCCTTCTAGTTTCCTGAAAGCAGCTACTGTACAGAATCCTCTAAAAGTTGTAATTATGTGGATGTTGTAAGAGAGCTGGACCACTAAATACAAGGAATGTCATTTTTTGAACTTTGCGGTACCTAACATTCCCAGATCTCAGTAAAATCCAAAATGTTATTTCTGTGAGTTCATTCTAATTTCTGTTCTGGTTTGTTTGCAGGTTTCAGCACAGCTGAACCATGGTTGCCTGTTGCTTCAGACTATCTTACCATAAATGTGGACTCAGAGAAGGGTGACAATGAATCATACTTAAACAAGTACAAAGAACTTATTAAGCTAAGGAATAACATTGCCTTTGTCAGTGGTGAATTTAAGGTTGTGCATGTCGATACTCAGGTGCTTTCCTATGTTCGCAACCATGGGGATGAATATTTCCTTGTTGTCATCAACTTTAGCGACAAGATTTGGGATCGTGATCTTGAGAAGCTGTCTGGCTTAGGCACCGTGGTATACGATACTCAATCAAAGCTGGCTGGCGAAGGAAAGGTAGATGTGAATAAGCTTAAGCTTAATGTGGGCCAAGCTGTTATTGTGAAAAATGGAGACGAGAAGTGGCACTTTTCTTAGGAACGTTCTACAATGTTGGTCAATAACACAGTTTTCCAAGTTAATTTATCCATATTTGAAATCATGCTTTTGTATTATGTTCAAACAAGGACATGTTTCTCTGTGGTGGTCATTCATGTTAATTGGGGTTCAAGCTTCCAAAGCAGACTGCAACATCCTCAGTTGAATGTATCGTAGTATTATTTTATTTCCTTCCGTATTTTTTGAGGATGTTGTATTTTGTATCTCATTATTACTCCTTGTAAGCAAAGCCTTGGCAATGCATTAGCATGTAAAAAAAGCTATACAATGGATTGACATTTTGAAGTTGTCATCACGCCATTATCAAGTTTTTTTTTAATCAATTCCAAGTTGACAAGGGTGTCATAACAACTCCAAAACGCTGTTCCATTTTATGGCATATTTTACATGACTATAACTCCTCTTAAAGAAATTCTGGATTATTTTTTAAATTATTAGCATTCACATTCGTAAGGTGTAGTATGCTGTCGTCGATGCAGTAGATCAGTATTTAAGTTAATACTACTTTACTCAGGGGAAGGGGCTGGCCAGATGGTCAGTTCATTGGCCGGCACACTTTGGGTAGTGGCATGTTTTCTTGGATTGTGTTCTCAGGAACAAATTCTCACCTCACAGTGTCTTGTCTCCTGCTAGGTGTGTGTATATAAACAAATGGGTATTGAACAGGAAAAACAAAAAGGCTGGTGGGTGGAGGGGAGGAACCTTTATTGGCAGACTTACTTATACTATAGGATTGCTTCATACTACAAAAACCAGTTTTGAGCACTGTACACTGATGCAACAACATAGTTTTTTGGCTTAGTAAAACCATTACAATGGCTTAGATCTACCCTCTACAATTACATGTAGACTGAAAGAATGTTTTCCACTTAGAATTTGTGATTTCTCAGAAAACATTTCGTTATTCACCAGCAAACTTTTGCAAGTCTACCAGTAAAGTTTTGACTCTCCTCTCTGAGGCAAAAGTGCTCACGAATTAAAATTTGCTGACAAATTAAGACGTGTGATGTCAAAATGATAAACATTTCTTCCATGCAAATTAGTGTCCCTCGGAAGAAAATGAATGTTGTAATATTAATTAATAATTGTTATTTATATTGTCTTTGTTGAAATGTTGGAATGTAATTTTCATATTAGCATACAAATTTACTCCACTTAAAAGCACATGTTAAAGTTAGCAACAACCAGACTAATTTTGATTTAAAAGGAGATCATCCTGACTGGTACTGTACTTTGATGATTATGGGCAGTAGCTTGCTACAAATTTGCTCTATCTTGTAGTCGAAAATATTTCCAACAACGGCGAAGGTAAAAAAAATATCAACTTGAAAGATTCTAAATTGTGAAATGGCAGTTTTAATTTCTCAATATCTTATCACAGATTCAATCCAACTTCAAACTTGCAATGCTATACTTCTCCAAAAAACGTGTTCTAATTTTCTCTGTAGGATATTTTTATCCAATAAATTATTATAGTTCATGGTAGCATTTGGCAATCTTCTATGGAAATCAGAAACTAGGGGTTTATAATTAGCTGGGAAGCTGACTCTTGAAGTGAATAATAATGTATTCCAACTTGACATCATAACTGAAGAGTGAAGGGTCGTACGCCACATCCACTGTTACCTGTACCAAAAACCCTGCGTAACTAGGGGTTATTCAGAGCATGCCTTGATAACATTCAAGTCAAGTTGGGTAACGTGGAAACTGTTTGTATTATTGTATTTTCTCCGACTAAGACTTTTTTAGTTGGAGTGTTAGATTGGCTAGGATGTGAGACTCCAAAAAAATGTACTTGTATTTTTTCTCATGAATCTGTTAACAGTAGTCCTGCCTCTAGTATTACCTCTCTATCATAAATATTGCAAATCATTCATGATGTCATGGGAGAAATGACCATGTTAGACATCCAGAAAATGATTGAGTATTGTTGGTTATTAGGTGGGTGTAGTTACACAATACAACTTTCTTGTGTTCAATTTGGTTCCATTTTGGCAAGTTTGACTTCTCAGTAAATCCTATGAGAACCTTAATTTGTGATCACTCATGGACTAGAGTGGTTTTCAATTGAGTGACGAAAGTTATCAGGTAATTACTTTGGTTGTGGTTTTACTATGGTTTGAGATTGGCTGAGTAGTCTAATATATTGGAAAGAAATAATTGTTTTGGTTTACAACATTTAATTGAAAACCTCTCTATTGCTGGTAAGATCTTTAAGTTTTGAGTCTCATTCAAATATGTTATTAAGCAATTATCTCAGATGGTCCAAATGTGAAACTATTGAATTGAAACTTATTAACTTTGTTATATTTTAAACTCTACTGAAAACAAGACAACAGGCAAGGCTAGAATTTAATAATAAAGTAAGGTTTATAAGTAAAACAAACATAATTATTATTCTAGAATATTTCAAGTTTGTTTAGCTAGGTGCTGCCTGGACAGGAGAGATCCTTTGTAAAATTGGAAAAAAACTTCCTGATTAAAATTGTTGCAACTGTTGATAGTCTCATTGTGTCATGTTTTTGTCTATTAAACATTAAGTTGATACAAGTGAAGAACAGGAATCTTCTTGACAATCATGCTTTTTTAATGTCTCTTCCAAGCTCTTGGTGGTTACTGGTTCATTGCAAGAATGATTATTTTTGCCATTTTGAAATGTTGCCTTTGACTGCTGGACAAAGGCTACTCATTTTGGGTGGTGAGGACAAGATTTCTATTCATTAAACCCTTTTGTTGTAACACTACCAAGGGGACTTATTGCGTTAACCAAGGTAGATTAGGTTTCTCATTAAGTGCCGGCCGCTGGCTAGGTTACTTCAATTCTCAGCCACCTACTTTTCGAGAAATAATTTGTGTGGAAGTTATAAAGTAGGGAAAACATATTAGGTTTTTTGGAATGTGATGGAACTTTGACCGTCCTTGTCTCAGGACAGTCAAGGCTGTAGCTAGATAGGGGGCATGGGTCAGGGTGTAGTGCACATTTTCAGTTATGCTAGCGTTGTAGGATACAAATTTTAAAGAAGTCCTTGTAATCCCTTAATATAAGATAAAAGGCCAACTGAGAAAGAAAGGAGACAGTCACTTGCCTCAATACATGGGCTACTACTTTGATGACTAAGAAACAGTTTTGAAATGATATTAGCAGATCGTAACATGGGAATCGACAACATTGAAAAAGGTTACTTCTGCGCTGGGCCCTTAAGAATAAACATTGATTTTTAGCATGATAGAAGGCCTTCCCTGTTATCAAAATACTGAATCGCATACTGTATGAACTACTCTTTCATTTTTACCTTTAGTAAACAAATTTTATTAGGCACTTCACATTGTGAACACTTGCTTTTGATATCATAATACAATCTGTTGTCTTCACCACCTGTCATGTTTAGCAAGCACTGAATTGAAAAGATAAGTTCAAAAAGTCTTTAAATGCTCTCTCAACTTATTTATAAGCACTACACTAAATTTTACTACTTCAAATAGATTTTCCATAAAACCATGGGTGCAAAAAAAATTGACGTCCTGCATTTCACCACCTAAACATTTAATCTGACATGAACCTGCCCAGCAAGTTTTCAAAAGACTTCAATAAGGTACCATTAACCAGTTGACAGAAGTGGAAGGTTAGGTGTACCATATTACATTGGTCTTTATAGTTATTGTTTTAAAAAATATGTTTTGCACTTTTCAATTCAAATGGTCAATTTATAACATTTGGTTCTTTATTACATATTAATTTTATACACTGGTAAGATTGGTTAAATTTTCTGATTTAATTAATTCTCGAGCATAGCCATGTCCAGTTGACTCCACTGAAGTAAGGATGTGATTTGATTTCCTCCACACCATTCACCCCAGAACCTAAGAATGAGAAGCACACAAGAAACTGCTAAATGACAAAATAATACCAACTATAGTTAATAGAGGGAATGGTTAAGAAGCCCAGTAAACATTAAAGAAGCAAACAAACAGGCTAAGATTTATGTTGGAAGGTCCTCGACTCTGCACATCTTTTGTTTTATGCTCATTGACTATAATGGTTATTCACATGTAGTTGTATATTAAACACGCATAACCACCTCTTGAATTTTGCCCTGGGTTTTGGGCAACGCCAACCCCCAAAAATTAATAGCCAACAAAAACATACAACAAACAACTTCACCAGGTTTCAAGACCAGTTTCCTCTATTAACTATATATCAACTAAATTCAAGATCAACTGGGTTCTTAAAGACAATAGGGTTAAAGCAAAATTCAACTGGGTAGTATATGAGAAATACATGTGGCACTTAATATTGATGTGAAGTATTTGAAATCTAAATTAATTTTGAAATTGGAGTGGTTGCACAATGCCAAAAAAAACACAAATGTCCAACTGACAACAACTCACCCAATCTCTCTGAGGGTGACACTCTCAGAAGCTATATTTAAAGAAGTAAGAAACAAATCGATTATAATGAAATACCACCAAAAAAATTTGCATAATATTTTAATATTTAAAAATACTCAAATTGATTGACTACACCTAAAGTTGCGCTAATTGCCAATACATAAGTCGATTAGTAAGAAAATAGTATTACTCAGTTATATTATTTTATAAACAGTATCAACACAAAAACACACTCCTAATTCAAAGACTTTGTAATCAGAACACTGTACCTCTCTCAGAAGGGATTTAGCCTCTGGCGAGATTTTATTTGGCAAGTGTAATTCAGTGTGAGTTTTTATTCCCCAGGGATGTGCCGTTGAGAGCGCCTACAACATTGACAAAGAAATATAAAAATTCAACAAATCTTGCATGGACATTTAGTACCCAATATACTGACAGTAAGAGAACATGAAATGATAGTAACAACATCCAACACGTGATAAGTTAACACTAACCATATTTTCAATCAGAAATAAGTTCTGAAAATCACCTGATCATGTTTAATTTTATTTTATTGTAAGTTGTGGTTCCAGAAAATATCCATACCCTCCCTAAGAAGGATTATAATTTGGAAATTCCAGTGGGGAGGTTGTGTCTCAAAAGCCAAAACTACTAAAGGAAAGTATATGAAACAAAAGTGGAATTTCCAGAGAGGGACACACCAAAAAGCCCTTCAACCCATACCAGAACAAATAATTAAAAATACACCAGTGCATGGATCCCAGCAGGGCTATGTAATATACAGGTTTATTATCCAAGTGCAGTGAATACCGTCCAAATAACAGTACAAATATACAGCGATATTGCACAGTTATTTGTACAGTAGAAAACCTGTTTGCCGGATAGGTCAGCATACACATGCAAAACTGTCACACTCTACCTCTTTCACTGATAAATTTATTGACATAGCAGCTGGATAATAAATCTCTTATTAGGCACAACTCGTAAATATATACAGCGATACTACACACCAAAACATCCAATAAGATATATGTATTTTAATTTACTTGCAAGGAACGACAATGTCATTCCAGCACAGAAGTTTTAGAATCAAACCTCAGATGCCTTTTGTGTACAGGGAGAAGTGCTTGCAAAAAGATATATACAGGTAGAGCTTTTTCTCTGGACATTACTGATCAAGAAGTTCATTCATAAGTCTAGAGATACATGTATATATTATGCAACATTTGATCACACCTGTCCTGTGATTATTTCATAAAGTAGAGCTCCAACACTCCACCAATCAGCTGCAGTTGTTACTTCATCAACTTGCCACATCTCTATAAAACAATATAGGACAACCAAAAGCAGTTAATTAAATAGCATGTAAAAAACTAAATCTAGGTCACATCGTAAATGTATGTAAGTCTTATTTGCTACATAAGCTGAAGCCAAAATTGAAGGTTGTGAGGGAGGTTAAAGGTTGAAGTCCATTCTAGCTCTTCGGATGGAATGAGCCTCATGGTTCATCAGCGGCAACTGCTGGTAGTGTTGCTTAACAGGGATGACAGGAAGACCACGACAGGAAAAAATTTGATGGCAAAGGGCTTGGAGAGATCAGAGAGGAGAAAGATGATAAGTGAGAAAAAGGATTGGGAAGGAAGACAAGGAATAGGAAGAAATGAAAAAACAAAAAGTTGATGAGATGATAATGATGTTGATGAGAAGGAAGATGAGGAAAAAAAGGAAGTGGAGGAAAAGGAGATGGTGGAGGAAGAGGATGAGAACAAGGAGAAGGAAGAGGACAAGGTGGAGATGGAGGATTAAGGGGAGGGCAAGGAGGCAAGAACAAGAATGAAGCTAATAAGAAATGAATAAAAGTATCAAACAATGGTTGACACTTAACAAGCATCACTTAGATTGCAACAGAGGCATATCCTTATTCAGATTTACCAACTGAAAATGTTACCTGGAGCACAGTAAAAGTGATTCATAGCCTCCTCATCTGGAATATGTTCTGTTTCTTCCCATGAACCAAAATATGTGAGAAGGATATGGCCCTCTTCATCCAGAAGCACATTTTCAGGATGCAAATCTCTGTGACAATAAAATGGAGTTCTGATAATCAATAATCACTACAGATGAATCAAACAAACCTTGTACTGTCAACTTTGGAACTTAATTAATATACAGTGTATACCAGATGCTTAATAACTTTGCAGCAAACCAAATTGTATTGGAACCAAGAGAGTTAATGACAGCAGATACCAATCCATAAGTAGTGCATTTCAATAAATATTATTAACCATTTGAAGTTGTCCTTCAGCAGCATGTCGGGTGATTAGTAATGGTAAATTGACCAGGCTTTTAGCCAGATGGGTGTCCAGGCATCCCGTGGATGGCCACTTTCTAAAGATAATTGTTTTAGTTTTCATATGTTGCCTTATAAATTGCTCATTTGAGCAGGCCCCATAGCACACTTTGGACGGCGACTTTTCAATTTCTGGCTTAAAGCCTGAATTGGACTAAGTGGAGTACAATTTAGGGAGTAATTGTGCAAGTAATTTCAAAATCAGACGAGCACAAAGTGCGAGGCCAATTTGAAGTTTCGAGCGCAATTACTCCCTGAATTGTGCAACACGAAGTCCAATTACGAAATAACTGTTAGTACCTAATAACAAATTTCGGAATTAAACTTGTCTCTTGAGAACTTTTTTTGAGCAAAGATGTCTGTACATAGTGCTTCTCATAAGTTTTCAAAACTGTGGGAAACACTGTGAAGGAAGCAATTAAAGCACGTACAATTGAAGTGCAAATCACATGGGTATCCAATTACAGATATCCAATTACAAAAAGTTCAAATTGGATACCTGTAATTGGAAACCCACATGATCATGCACCAATTACATGACAAATAGGCAAGCGGAGAACCAATCACAATAGAGAATTTTGAAATAGATACGATTCAACAGACAATTTGATTTTTAATAGTTCAAGGCCTCAATCAAATCGTCTATTTATTCAATTAATACTACTAACAATAATATTTATTCAGTAGTAGCTGTCAGTCGATGTTACCTGCAAATAATTCCTGATGTGTGCAAGTAAGCAACAGCCAACACAAGTTCTGCAGCCCAAACTCTGATGTGTTCATCCGGTACACACTGGGCTGCAGATGAGAAATACTCATCCAATTTCACAAACAGTGAGCTCTTGTTATCAGGACGGACATCAGTTGCCTCTCTGTTGCATTTATCATCAGAGTTTTTGTTTATTTTATGAGCCTCTTGGTTCCCCTCTGATAGCTTATTATTGTTACCATTAATTGGAGTTCTGAGGCCTTCAGTGTAATTCTCCCAATCCACAGCAGCTGCAGCTGAAACTTTAGTGTCAAGCTCACTGTCTTGCACTGTTGCAGAATTGTTAGTTCTGGATCCAAAAGCTAGATTATTGGATACATCCTCTCCGTCTAAAGGTATTGCCGCAACTTGAGGTGTGGGGCGATCATTTTTTGTATCAATATTTTTAGTCTGAGTCACACTTGCATCAGAAGCAGAATTCTTCAGCTCAGAGTTTTTTCCGTTAGCATCTCTTATGAGGTAGTCATGAGACTCCTTGTTTCGCTGGTAACAAGATGTATGATCCCACAGTCTCCCTCCTCTAGCATACTCCAGCAAAAGGTATATTGCAGTTGCAGTTTCAAAGTACTTGTAAAGTCGCACGATGTTTGGATATTTGCCCTGCAAAGAAAGTACATGTACTTTATTGTATTTTGACTAAAGCTGGCTGCGCAGAATATGTATTACAGGGTACATGCATGATAGAGGATACAAGTGTACTACAGTATTCTCATCACAGGCATAGTAAGTGCCAGTTTATACATGTACATACTACAACCCTCTACATTGAAATAATTATTGTATTTTTGAAACACCTCTTACTTTTCTTTATTTTGTCCTTCCCCACCCCTTCACATTAAGTTCACTAAGCAATTAAACACATGACTGCATTGATTTTTAGCACTGAGGAGTATTAAATTGTATATAGCCATAACCTATGAGTTCAGTATACTTTGCACCCTCTGACATTTACTCATCCATATTCAGTGATGTATCTAAGTAAATTGCACTTACATAAAGACGTCTCACAGATTTCCTTCTTCGACGTTCGCTTCCTTGAGAGTTCTGCTGTGTTCGTGTTGGTCCTGATTTGCAGAGAGCCTGAGAGAATATTAAGTCAATGCATGTAAGAAAAAGTGAAAGCAAATTAATACAATATTAGAGAGAAGCACAAAAATGTTTCAATCAAAGAATTGTAGAAATGCAAACAACCCTCAAGGAGAAACTTATGGATAAAAATGACAGGAAGAATGCAATTTTTCCTCAAAATGACCTTTAAATTGATTTTTCTAATCTTAAATTAATGTTGATTTCATAATAAAACTTATAAATATTTGATGATGTTCTACATGCAGTTGCTGTGAGTTGTTGAGCTGTTGTCTTTCTGCCAGGGGGGGGGNGCGAGGGTGGGTGGCTAAAACGTTTACTAGGTGATTCTTCCTTGAGATCCCAATGAACAATTACAAACCTTGATGACAAAAGTTTCCCCATTGTGAATATTCTCGACCAGTATCACCTATAAATCCAAACAAAAATAAATAAATTAGATTTTGTGTCCAGTATATGTTATAAGTAAATTAGTACTATACATATATTGATTTGAACGAATACCGTACATCAACAGACAAACCTTGCCAACAATCCCCATAACTTTCAAGTCTGCAAGTGCGAGCTCCTTGAATTTTTGCAGCTCATCTGATTTGCATAGGTCACTTGTATGCGATGGAGAAGAGTCCTACAATCAGTCACAAATGACAAGATAAAGCTTTAAAGTTCCAAGTGGAACAAAGGGTGTTACTACTGTTTCGCTGATAAACATTCAGCTTATCTCATTTTTCAAGTTTGGCACGCGCGCTGTTTATGTTCAACATTGAGTACGTGCTGTATTTGAATTTATATATCACAATGATGCTTATTGTGTAATACGTTTAATTTAAAGTTCCGTAAGTCCAAGAGTTGCCAGTTGTATGGAAACAACCAAGCTAACCAGTTGTCAGGTCTGTTTGCTCCCAGTTATTGCTAGCCAGTTATTACACTAACCAGTTATTTGCTGAGGTTTTAACCTACCGTTTGCCACAATGTACATCAATTACGGAGGCAGTCAAGAAGTAACTTTTAAAGTTGGTTTGCAAGTTTTGTTTAGATCAATTTCCTGTTTGTTTTGAACACTTGTAAGGTCAGGTGCCAACATAATTTCTTTGTATTATACATTGAATTGAATTGTTCAATTAAATATGGTTCTTCCTTTGTATTGGTGACTTTGGTCTCTTGTTCAACTGAACAACTACATGTACCTCATCACCTGCTATCAATTTCTTACTTAACAATTTTTGAGCAGAATCAGCAGTCCACTTACCTGCTCCGATTTCTCTGGAGACTCACTTGCAACAAGGTATGTGTTGTAAAGAGCTTCAGCTTTCAACAGATACTGAGCTGTCTTTCGTCTCACTGCCTCTCGTCTCTTTACATCCTTTTCCCCTAAAAAACAAAACTCACTCAACAATTTATTCAAGGAAAAATAAGCCATTTATCAAAGCGATTCAGTCTCTGAGTGGTTAAAAATCACAAAGCTGGAACAATGCAATCAACCTACATGTATCAGTGAATCAGGGATTAGAGTTACAGGTTCATAGTAAGCTGTTACAATGTATATGAGTACGTCATGATATTTGCCCTTCAGGTGCCTATATGACGCACTGGGTAAGTCAAAATCTCCCGGCACATCAGAAACAACTTTTATCGGCACCTGAGATTCATAGGAGGCTTTTTGAGAGACTGCTAATTTCCCATTGCTGTGACATTATATGGATATCAAATTACGTCAACCTCAGCAAAATCAAACTCATTGATAAGAAACTTTTATGACCTTTTGAAAAATGCACACATGTCTATAGTTTAAGTGAAAAAGCTCGTGGCAGTTGAAGTTGTTTACTAGACACCTATTTTCAGTGAAAATGGTGCGAAACACGGCATACACAATGGTTTGGCACTCAAGGAGTTAAACTACACCAATAATGAATGTATCACACTGTATGTCACACACATGAGTACCTTGTACACCACTCAGAAGCAGACCAACACAAGTCTTATACAAGCTGAATGCCTCTCCATATTTGCCATTTACTTCACAATCTAATGCCTTGTGTATTGTGTGTCCTGCGGCATACAAATAGTCGCTCTCTTTAGGATCAATGTAGATATTTGCTAGATCAGAGATAGTTCTCTGACGTGTTACTCCCTTTACCGAGTCACTTGAACTTGTGAATGACTGTTTATCTTCCATTGTACCAGCTGAACTTGAGTCCTTTAGTGGGGAGGCCTCAGCAGATTCTGTTTTCTCGACAAAATTTTTCGACTCTGATGTCTTTTCAAGACTTTTTTCAGTCCACTGATTTTCATCATGTCCATAACCAACTGAAGCTGAACTTTCAGTGGAAGCTTCAAAAGTGTCTACTCTATTTTGGTGCAAAGAAAGATCATCTGCAGAATCCATACAGGGGAAGGGGGAAGATTCATCTCCTTCTTGCTTTGACACATCATACTCAGAAAATGCTTGAGGAAAGCTAAGCTCATCAGTGTCAGCTTCCGATGCAAGAATTTCTAAGTCCTCTCCTTCACTGCAAATTGAAATTGCTCGGACAAGCCAATTAGGAGGTTCAGCACTTGAGTGATCGTCCTTCTCAGATATGTCCAGCTCATTATCTAGACTTTCCTCAGGATCCTGTGTAAAAACATCATCATTATGCTCATCTTCATTGTCTTCAGCAGCCTCTCCATTTGAGTGCCTGGTTAAATCAGTTCCCCCACTTTCACACCCAGCTGGTGGCACTGTTTCACGTTCATCATTTTCATCCTCATCCGAGCTGAGGTTGTCGAGACCTTCAGTCAGAGAAGGCTGCTTATAGAGCCACACACCCCCAAGGGTAGATGAATCTTCAAGATTATCACCTGAAAAATAAAGGAAGGGTTGAATGAATGGTTATAAGGCAATAATTACATCAAACTTACATCAAGCAATACATCTATGTACATGTATGAACTCAAACAGCATTTTTAGGGTAGTCAAAGGTGCATCAATAGACAACAAAATTAGTTTGGATCTGTCACAAAACCCAAAATGAGTCCCTGTGCATAATTACACTGAAAGCTAAGTACTGCAAATAATGTTTTAATACCAAACTCATATAAACAAATACAAGGAAAAGTTTATTGTTTCAAGATTGCTGCTCGTAAGCATAACCAAACCTTACCATTCTCTCTGCTTGCAGTACAGGAAAGCGATGGTGACTGCCTGTCATTTTCAACATTATTTCCAATACTTGCATCCAATTCTTTGACAGTAGAACGTCCTCTAAGGCTTTCTCCTTCTGTGTCAGATGAACTGCCTTCTCTGCTTCTGACATCATCACTGCAAACTGGGCTATCAGGGAATCCCCCCTGAAAATTATGAACACAAGTAAATAAATTGTGCACACACAAAATTAACCCTTATATCTAACAATTATTCGCCAAAGGCAAAGTGAACATAAGCATGAATCAATGCGTTTTTAAAACATGCAATAAAAACCCCAGCAGAATTTAATGCAAGTGTTAAGCTAGGCGGAAATATCTCCATTAAAAACTTTGATGACCATTTTGATTATTTACCTAGATTCTTCCACTGTAAAAGCCAAATAGTTTTAACTTACTTGCCATGCATTATGCAAGTGTTTCGAAATTTGGCAATGAGTAAATATATACCTCAAAGAACTTAACAAATGGTTGACTTGTAAACAGATCTGGGATGCTTCCAGCAAATGTCAAAAGTTCCAAAGCTGCTTTTCTTCTCTCTTCAATTACTGACTCTTCAAAGCGGCCTGCAATCGTATTGGATCAGTAAAAAGAATTTTCAAACCTTGCTTTTTTCACAAACCCTGAAATGCAGTCCAGGCCAGACCAAACAAAGGTCAGACCTGCAGAGAGTCAACTCTCTTTATGTCTCAATCATGTTCCCTCATTTGGCCCAGACACTTTTTGACAGCTAGAGAAAATGTGTAATGCAGCCTTCATGCTTAACTCTGTGGTAGTTCTTTTTCTCATTTGGCCAGCTTAAATAGCTCAGTAAACCACACGTGAAACCTCTGCCAACCATGACCATGCACCTAGCTAATACATGTAGCTATAATTGTTTAAGTAGTTTTAAAGAAAACACTGTAAGTTCTGATATTTTTTAAGGTTTAATTTTTGAAATAATTGTTAATAATATAATTGTATTTTATCTGTGTTCCTAATTAGTGCCGTTGGTCCTAGAACGACCAGACACTTTTGATAAAGGACATGCATGTTTTCAAGAACAATTTCTAATACAGTGACATACCGAAAAACTTTGCCTTTGGAAATGCTGGAAACTCTTCTTGCTTGGCATGTTTCTGGACATAGATCTTTGAAAGCTCTTGGTGCAGCTTCTTAAAATCACTGAAACGTCTCCACACGGCTATCTGTAAACAACAGAAATTACCCATAAGAATATGACTTTTATATGTTATGGGAGTTCATTGAACGTGTGTGTATAGTAAGGGTCATTATGTCTTTGACAAAGCCAATTAGTTACAAGCCATAGGATAAAGGAAAGTACATGTAAAGCCAGTCACCATCCTCAGTATCAGAGAACCAAGCAGATGGCTCACCAGTACAGAACTAGCACTACAGCTGTATGTTCAGTTTCTGTCATATTAAGCAACTATAAGAAGTATGGCTAGATCACCAAGGTTGAGAAAAGCAAGAGGCCAAAGACCACTAAATTTAGATCTCTCCTTCGACTGTTAATTGCTGAGCAGTATTAATAAAGGTATATGTACATGTAGAGATTGTGGAGGTGTGGTAGCCTCATAGTTAGTGCACTTGGCTCCAGATCAAACTGTCTGGGTTCGAACCCTGGCCAAGGACATTGCTTTCTCCACCCAGGTGTAATAGCCAACTTGCTGCTGGAGGGTAACGCTGCGATGGACTGGCATCCCATCCAGGGGGAGGGGATAGTAGAAATACTCCAAGCTAGTCGAGTCATGCTACTGAAACCTTTACCTTACAGGTACAGTAGAGGAGGGCTCTCAAGAAAGACAGGAACAAGGAAGGATGGCTAAGTCATAATATGCCTGAAGTAGTAGTGTGGAACAGGGAAGGAGGGGTTAACAACAAAACAGACTTATGTGACATGAGGAGACAAGAAGATGAAGTAGCAGTACAATAATTATACTCCTAGTCACTTTAGAGTGGATTTCAATTGAGTGAGAAAAGTAATCCAGCAATTACTTTGGTTTTGGTTTTACTACGGTTTGAAATTGGCTGAGCAGTCTCATTGGTACATGTTGGTAATTGGTTTGGTTTTGGTTTTATGACACTCTATTGAAAACCCCTCTATGCAATAGAAATTGCAGTTAAGCACCAAGGTTATAATTCAAATGGCTCTGCTAAACCAATGGATTACAGCATTTTTAAAAAAATGAACAACAACCACCTCAGTTGCCCCTTCAGGAAACTCCTTCTGAAAAACCTAAAAAGAAAATGGTGAAAGTTTCATGAAAGATCATAACGCAACGTTTTTATTTACATCACATTCACTTACAAAGGAACTTTATACCATGTATTGACACAAATATATTTTCATTAACTGTGTTACATTTGACAGATGTTTCTCCTAATGTGTGCATGTCCCTTAAAAAGTAAGGAAAACGTCTGTATACAAAAGCTTACACTAGTATGTGCTGAACATGCTGGTGGCTGTGACTACATGTATGATGATATAGATAGTCTACAAAGTAACTAAAAAATATTTTGAGATATTTGTCTTTACGACTGGATAAATCAGGTTGCTAAGAAACTAAAAAAAAAATAAATAAAAAATAAAAAAGCAAAAAAACAAAAACAAAAAAGCAAAAAAAAACAAAGACAAAAAAAAGAAACTAACAACAATAAGATCAACTGAAAGAAAACACGATGATAAGTTCTTAACCTGACCGGTTCCGAAACATTGAATTCGGAACAACAGGAACAAAGCCTCAATGAGCGACAATGTAAAGAAAAACGTTTGCAGCAATATCGAAATTCTTTGCTATTTTAAGACTTTGAAATGGTTTGGGAATCTAAGAAGCTTCCAGAGCGTTATGCCACATAAAGCTACAGTTTTTTAGCTTTTATGCGCTTGGAAAAATGGTTGTCTTTCGTTACCTTGGAAGTGACTTTATACAAAGTGTGACCGGCATAAGCTCGTCTCGGGTCCGATACATTGAATAGTCGGACCCAATGATCATCCATTTGCGCCATTCCAAGAGACCGTTTACGGATATCATGTCAAGAGAAAACACCATTTGATTGAAGTAACTACTCCGCCAACAGCTTCCGCCATCTTGAAAATCAAGCTAGTTACCAGATCTCAGCATCACTATAATAGAAAATCATCCCCATGCATTCCCCATAATCCAATTCGGTCACACCGGAGTAAAACGAAGACTCTGGGTGAAATGCGGACAATGCAGACCGCAGGCTACATACTTTTTAAAGTAAGTATCGTGTTATTTCCATTATCGACTGCTAAACGTAAACAGGGTTATTTAACAATTATTCCACGGGCGCGCGTGGGATATAAGATGGTAGATACTGGATAGCCAACTTGGCTATTATCATCTCCTTTAAAAAAACTGGATCATTGGATAATGCAGTTCGAGAGTTTTCACTGACTTAGCCATCGTAGGTTAGGGACCATCATACCATGCTCTACAAATATGGTAAACGTACGCGTGATTTTTTGGGGCGTTTTTATTTTCTTTATTCTTCGGGCGCTTTTAATAAAATAATTGTTCCACTCTCGCTTGTTGGATATGAGATGATTATAGCCAACTCGCGCTCGTGCATAATTGTTAATTATTAAAAACTAGATCATTGGATAATACAATTCGAGAGTTATCATTGGCTTAACCATCAAGTTAATATGAGCCATCATACCATTCTCCACAATGGGGCACTTTTATTTTTATTTTAGTCTAGTTTTCTATATTTGGGGGGCGTTTTCAATAAAACAATTATTCCACTCGCGCTTGTTGGATATGAGATGTTTATAGCCAACTCGGCGCAACGTGCCTCGTTGGCTATCTACCATCTCATTTCCAACAAGCGCACGAGGAATAATTGTTAATTATTACATTGAAAGTTTGCACTCCGGTTAGCCTAAGTATCACTAAGAATACTAAGAAATTTCTCAAGAAATAAAATGCAAACAGCGGCAACAAACACAACACATGAACTACGCATGGTTTGGAACAAAAATCTAAAATTTTCTTGACGTTTCGCATGCTACAGCACG